AAGTAGTCTTCTGTCCTGTCGCTTATCTTCACTGCTTTGAACTCTAACCCTGCCATTTCTTTTTGAGTAGTTCAAGCGTTGCCGAAAGCTGAATGTGTATTTTGCAGAGCAATTTGGCTGACCTGATTAGCAGGTTGACACGAGGAATTGGAATCACCAACGAAAAACTCGATCTGATTCTTCAGCGTAAGTAGCTCATTCTTTTGTCAAACTGTCTGGTCTCTTTTACTCTGCTTTTGCAGGAATTGAGGAGGTTGAGTCGCGTGTGGATTCAGCTCGCCCCGGAGAGATTGAGAGAGCTGTGAACGAGATTGTCGACGATCTTAATGCTCTTGAGATTCCTATTGGAGGCTTCTTCGAGGATGTAGAGGAACTAAAGGCCAACAATCATCCAGAAGCTAACGATTTTTACCGACAGTGAGAAATTGCTGAATTTTTTGCGTACAAGGTAATTAAGGCTCTTCTTTCAGAGTGTACGGTCTTCATCAGCGTCGCACCGCGTATCTGGATCGTCTTACTAATCAATTACTTGTTCGTTTGGGTGTACGCACTGAAACATTGAGAAAAGAAAATGCCGCTCGACTTGAATCTGTTCGTACGTCGACATTCAGCAGAGTACAGGAATGCATTGAATGGGTCCGCGTTCGACTGGTGAGGAGCATTATAATCATCGACGATTAGGAGTTATAAAAAGTGCCATAATGTAATTAAACGCCACTTTCCTTTTTGCCCTAAATTGCTCCTTATTTTCAACAGTAATCAAGATTGCCTGGAAATTATCATTGAATTTCTTTAGTAAGAAAGTGGCAATTGTAATGTGGCGTTACAGCTATCATTAATGCGGAACTGTCCTGATCGAAGAAAAGAAACTGGAAAACTTCAAATTAGCTACAATTTGGCAAAAAAGATGATGGTTCAAATCAAAGTTAATTTTCAAGGAAAAACTCTCTGAAATGGAGTTCCTGGAAGATCTTGAAACATTGGAAGAGATGTTTGAGCAGCATAAGCTAGACAACAGGGATATACAGGATTTCCGCCAAAATGTGGATGAATGCATCGCACGTCAGGTAATTTCTTCGATTTTTTTCTCCTTTCATTCTCTCACTTGCGTCTCTAGGCAAACAAAAAACCCTAAGAACAGTTTTTTTTGTTGCTCTATCTATCGGAGTGCGTATCGCCGTTCTTTGTTGTTCCGGCAGAGAGCGGCGGTGCTGCGTTTTCTGTAGCTCTGGCAAGTGTACGGCCAGTTTTCGATGTTTGCCTGTAATTGTATGCGACTGCATGCTCACGCTCACGGTCATACCCGTTTGGGGAGCAGCTCCTATGAAAAGACGGAAGGATGCTGTTGAATGGATGACAAATATTCAATTAGCAAATCGTGTAGTAACCTAAATGATTCACTTCGGAGATTTTAGTCATCAGCGTGGGAGGTTTGTTCACAAATAGGATTGGCGGTGAGCGTAGGCGGCTGGTGGAGATTGGTACTAGTAGGTAGAACTCAAGAACCTTAATCCGCAGGTTTGCGAAAAATTCTTGAAAATGAGGAGCACTTCTGCTTGGGGTAACGTGTCATCAATAAAATAGACAACTTGTAGACAAGCTTTTTGTCTGGAAGAAAAGTGAAAATGTTTCGACAACATTGAAATGAGACTTTTTAATGAATAGCTTGGCCAAATACATTGCAATCAGTGGAGGAGAGAGCCCCCTCCCCGTTTTCCCCGAGAATAGATCGCAAAATTTTCTAAATGCGTACTTGACTGAATTTCGTTAATGACCTGTTTCCACATGTGATTATGAAAAACTTCTGAATTTGTTAAGAATTCGAACTAGCCATGTGCAAAATCTTTGAGGATATAGCGACCACATGCCACCTTTTTT